TTGTGACTGGTATGATTACAGGTGCTGTCATTATCAGCATGGTGGAGGAGTGTGGACACCTCCAAACACAGAAACAAAGAGAGCTAATCTGAGAGGAAAAATCCACACTAGTGTTGTAACTGTCAGACATCATCATTTTGTTCTTGTTAATGCTTTTATGATGCATTCAAACTTTTGGAAAAAAAGTTCTTTGTTTCTACTTTCACAAAATGTGAGAGAACATGTGGCCCTGCCCTGAATCAAAGGTTGTTGAACAGAAACATATCTTTACAGTTTTCTATCTGTTGCAGACAGAGTCACCTCTATAGCTGCTATCAGACACTGCAGTTCAGACATTTTCCTGAAATCTTTCAGACGCAAATGTCCGAGTCAACTATGAAAGACAAGGAGAGCTGTTGGTGATAACGGCCGAGGCTGGTCTGAATGTGCCCTAAACAAAAACAGCATTTATACATCACAAATGTATACGTCCTGCCTCGCAGACTCTACCCAGGCCCCGCCCCTCACCTGAATGTTCTGTAAATGTTCCAGTTGTGAAGGTGTCTGACCTGCACAATCTCCTGCTGCGTTCTTCACATGTGAAAGGCAAACTCCGGACATTTTCCTGAGTTCATGTCTGCAAACAGCTTATACAACAAGTTTAAAGGACACGTGTGACGACTGCGAGGCATTCAGATCTATTTATGGCAACATTTACATTTCTACCTTCACTGCTGCAGGATCTCTTTTTGTAAATAGAGAGAAAATTGGTGTATATGTGGTTTGCAACAAATGTTCCTTTAAATTCTGTTCGAGAAACTAAAATCTACTGTTGCTGCTATCAAACTCCGCTTAGGAGTTCTGGTATGATCTAAAACCTCATTAAGGTTTGGGCAGTAATCCACGAGAATAAGAAAAACACACCACCAAACCTCAGTATGTCGGCACATCTGCTTTTAAGTGTTTGCATATGTTTGCTTGAACATTTTGCTTGAGTTAATATTCACGTCTTATCAAGGCATTCAGAAAACCTATTCTTGATATAAGAATTTTGACTTCAATTTCAAATTGGAAACACCCACATATCATGAAAACTACTATATTTTTTATGGCTTTAAAACTCAATTACTTTAATAGTTTCAAATCAACCATGTCAACGTTTTCTGCATCACGTGTTTACTCCTGTCAGTCAGATGCCTCTGAACCACACCTGGGAGCATTTGAGCCGCTCTGTGCTCTCTGCTGCGTAGATTGTGATATAATGAGGCAAAACAAGCAGAAGATCTTTCCAAAGGGTGTAAAAACAGGAACAGCAGTAGCGAGGTTGAGGGGAATTTCATGGCAAGTTACGTACAGTAAAAATGAATTCTGAATTTTTAAGTGAACGGTAGGAAGAAAAGATTCCTTCTTTTCTCAGTAGCCCAATAAGTGGCTCTTAAAAAAGATAATTGTCGAAATGCTCTGCTGGCCCACAGACCATGGAAGTGTCACTCTCCTGCCCCTTTATTTCCTCAATCGTCTCTCTCTCTCACACACATTTTCCTCATCGTGCTCCCCCCTCTCTCGCTTACGTCCGTCTCTTTCATTTTCACTATTGTCGTCCTGCTCCATCTTCAGCCCCTCCCTCCGTCCCCAGGCCTCTCTCTGCAGCACAGTGCCGGTCCTGTCGTTCTGCATGCCTTCAAGCTGTCTTCCTAATCTTCCTGAGTTATTCAAGACACTCACCTCTTTTCCTTTCACCCAACACACCCAGCAAACTGCACAAGTCTGAAACTGGGTGACCGAGAGGATATGAAAAAAATTGTGTTTATGGTTCATTTGCATGGAACTCACTCACTCGCTGACTGACGGCCTGTACTCATCATACTGTAGGTGAAACAATTTCTGTTTGTCAGTTCGACCTCAACTCACACTTTTGTGTGCCTGAGTGCGCTCACACCACCCTCAATGTTCGCCATCTTGGTTACACAACAGAAAGGGAGGGGACCACCAGAGCAATTTCAAACTTGTGAAAATGGCGGCAAAGGAAGGAGGACACGTCGTTGGCACCAATGACATTGCCTTATCCATATTGTTTGTAGCAAGAGATACATGCCAGAAAGTAAAATGTTCATTATTGAATCAAGTAAGGAAATCAGCCAGTTGAGTTTTTTTGCAGCTCAACAATAACGGTCAAATATCACAATTGTCATTTTCGGTAAGTGCAGAGCGTATTTGAGGCATTCTGACAGGCCACTGTGCTTCTATAAACAACAAGCTTTGCTGCAAACTCCGATTACCACCTCTAAACTCACACTGAGACACGTCCGTGCCTGTGGCGCTGCAACTCATTGAATTAGAAGCTTTTCCTTGGCTGCTGGGAGTCAATAACCCAAATGGACCGAGGTGTACACACTCAGGAGCATGAGCGTCCTTTAATATCCAGATGGAAGTAATCGGGAAAGTGCATTTCAACATAAAAACAGGGACAGGTCTGAGGGTTTTTTCTTCTTGTTGTTTTTCAGTAGAAATGGAGAATTAGGGAATATCTGAGGAGTCTGCAGCTCGCGTCAGTTCCCTTCACAGTGCCAGACCTTTTATTGAACACTTTTCTGATGACTGCATCCTTACGAGAGTCCAGTGACATTGAGGGTGCTGTCATTAAGGTGGGGTGCCGCAACACACACTCAAATTTCAGTCTGATCATCAACCGCTCGTGGTTCACTGTCACGAAAACAGTGATTTCTTCTTTCCTGCAATAAGATTTGCTGCACGCACAAACACACACACACACGCACACGCACACACACACACACTTCCACCATTTCCATAACCTACATAATGTCATGAAAACTTAATACCTTCCTGACAACAGCATGGAAGTGACTCCTGTGTGAGACGTACTGTATGAGAGCTGGTCTGGTTAAAAACTCAGTGTCAAAGATGCTTGTAAAAGTCAAATCATTTATATGGATTTAAGAGTTGAGCCTAAACAGCGTTTTTTAAACATTAATTCTATTCCTGGAGTTTCTTAAAATACAATAAAGACATGGAGGGAAAATAAAAAGCGTCTTTCTTTCATTTGTATTCTCTCTGTGAAGGATTTTGAATTTTTTATTCAGCAACATATGAAATTGTATGAGGAGATCAACTATACTAGCTGAATAATGTGGAGAGAGACCAAAAGGGTTGAACGGCCTCTGTACGAAACAAGCAAGCAGTCAATTGGTTACCTGAAGATAACCACAATTTACAGGGTATAACAACACACTGTAAGCCTGCTTGGCTTTATTGCTTTCTTTAGCACATTATGGGCCTCTCCAGTCACACAGTATAGAATGTAGATATTTCCACTAATCGCTCCTGTTGATTTAGCAGCACATTCACATCTGCCAGTAAGAATGTCTCTGAGCCTTTAGAAACAGGCAACACTGGCAAACAAAAACCTTTTCAACAGCTGCTACGTGTCAAAGTGGCTGACATGTGCTGTGACTGTCAAACAATATAGAGCCTCGCTCCCTGCAGACCTGCAGCAACATGGAAAAAAACTGACTAGGGGTTTGAATTGGTTTCTGCAGGATGACCGTGTCTGTGATTGTGTGGAGTCACTGAGGTTTGAGTTTCAGCCTCTGTATCATCAACATCTCTCCGTCTCTCCTCCTGTTTCTCTAAACTGTTGTACACCTTGTCAGCAGGAGCCGCGTAAACATCAAATTACTGCAGCTCTGTGTTATTCTGCAACGTGGTGGAAGGAACTTCTCAAGTCCCTTCAGCCCAAAAAGTAGAATAAAAGAAAGATGAGAAGAACACAAAAAATAAAATAAAGAATGAGCACTTTGCGAAGAATTTTCAACAACAATTCCATATGATCTTTCATCCCAATCTCACTGCAACATTTCTGCTGGATATAATACTTCCAATACAGCCAACATAATTCAGTAATTTGTGTAAACTCTGTGTGTGTGTAATATAATCTTCATGTGCCAGGTTGTAATAAAACAAACCACTGACACTATTTGGATCTCTGGACAGTTGGTTAAACGTGCAGGTTATCACGCACAAAGATCAGCATCATAAGTAGACCATGTTAAAAAAATTGAAGATTTTGGTCTTTAAAAATGTTTCAACCTAATTTATTTAGAGCTGAAAATACTATATTTTACATTAATATGTGTCCATTTCTTTGACTGTGTTCCACTTATTCTTGCCTTGGCCTGATCATCAACCCTAGTAAATTACATTTGTGAAAAACCACATGTGAACTATTAATTATATTTAATAAACAGGCCTTAAAGCCTAATAAATTCATTACTGGAGTCAAATTGTATTATTCTAATTGGAATATTTGAGAATATATAAAAATTACAAATTACAATAATACATTCAACTAAAATGTATTCAAATTGTATTATCAGTGAAATTGTAATATTTCAATTTGAATATTTCTATGATAAAAAAAGATACATAAAATGTGAAATAAACTGCAAATAAAGGAGGTTTTATTGCAGCATTGAAGTGGATCTCTATGAAAAACCTTCTTGTGAATCATTAGACTCTGTGGTCTCGTTTGATGCGGTTTTAAACGCCTCCATTATGGCCTGCACCAAACTAAATTACATCGACCAAACCAAACACACTTTAAATTACTTCTTCATTTTCAAATTGCGCCACAATATCAGAGGGAAAATTTAGCTTTTCTGCGGTTCGATTTGAGGGGAAAGTTTAAGTTTAATGAGTTGAATTTGCGAAATGACTCCCGGATTAGTCATGAAACAGAACCTTATAATTATTATAATTATTCATAATTATAGAGTATAATTATTGTCTTTCTCTTTCGCATCCAAAAGGGTTTAAAAGTGTGTTCCTGTCAAAATATACATTACCCTGCGTCTATCCAGCTTAAAACGCTTCATTTTGTTTTTCAAATATTTCACAGTTTATCTTGGGATCAACCAGGACAAATAAAATGCATTCTCCGTGCCAAGCGGCTCAGCTCAGGGAGACAGCCGCTCCAGGATGAGGGGGACAGTGGATGGACTTACCGACACACTCGTTGGCCTCCCGGGCTGTGGCTCTCTGCCACGGTCGGTCATAGTGGAAAGGTTTGCACCTGTCGCACTCCGGCCCGGCCGTGTTGTGCTTGCACTCGCACACCAGGCTCCCGTCCCTGTCCTTTACGCACCGGGACGCGTGCCCGTTGCACTTGCACCTCCCGCCGACCTGCAGGTCCGACACGGCGTAGAAGTACGAGTCCCGGGCCAGCTCCGAGTCGTCCTCGTTCTCGTCGCCGAACGTGTGCAGCCGGCTGAAGATGACCTTGATGTCCGTGGCCGTCACCCAGTCCTGCAGCACCGGGGAGTTGTCGAAGTCGTGCGCCGACGGTCTTCCGTCCAGCGTGCTGAAGGCGATGAGCCCGCCGGTCAGAGGGTACATGTCGGTGTGGGAGTCCGTGCACACGGCCTCCTGCTCGTTCTGCTTCGTGATCACGGCCCTGTTGGGCTTGTTGTACATCTTCCTGCACTGGGTCGAGTAAAACTGGAAGGGTACCCACGTTTTACCGTAATCCATGGACTTGTAAATGACCATGGATTCAGGTCGGGGCGAGCAGAACTGCAGGCTCACGTAGGTCACCTCAAACTTCTTCCCTAGGGACAGAGTGAGGGTGACGTTCTGCGGAAACTGGATGAAGTTCTCGGACTGCCAGCAGGTGAGGTTGTGCGGGTTGTTGAGGTCCGTCAGGTACGCCGGAGGATGGTACTTCTTGGGGTCCGAGGCGTCGCAGGAGTGACAGTTCCTGGTCCTCTCGTCTCCCTTCTCCGCGGATGTGACCACGCAGTAGCGGCCGGGCGTCTTGCCGCAGGTGCTGGACACCTTTACCTCCTTCCCGAAGGCGGAGTTGACGAAGTCCGGGATGCAGCGCCGCGGGTTGCCGTGCTCGTCGTAGCAAGGGTCCGGCGGGGAGGTCTGCGCCGCGAACAGGCTCATCCCGTAGCCGCCGAGGACGCACCGGCACGACAGCGTCAGGATGAGCAGCGCAGACAGCACAACATCCGCAGCCTTTCTCATGGTGTAGGTCCCTCTGTGTCCAAAGTGTCCTGCCTGCTGGAGGAAGAGGAGAGAGTGAGCATGAGGGAAGAGAGAGAGAATGTTTGGTGATCCTGTTATTTCAGAAACATGTTCCAAATGTTTGCAAAGATGGGGCAAAGATTTTTTACGCATGCCTTTTTGTCATGGATATATTCTTAGGATCATCAATACAAAGGGTTTGTAAAAAAAAATCTATAAAAACTTTTTTTACCTGAGAAGAATTTAAAAAGATGGATACTTTTCTCTATCACTGCTCCTCCTGTTTTTGTTTGTTTCTTCAAATCTCCTGCGTAAAAAAAGAGGAGCGGCTGGATTTAAGAGTCGCTGGTGTCCTAATAACAAGTCCCACTCCTCCTGCCGCTCTTTTCACAACCTCTCTCTCTCTCTCTCTCTCTCTCTCTCTCTCTCTCTCTTCCCCCCCCCCCCGCCCTCCCGCCCTCCTCGGATCAGATCTCGCTTGGCACTGCTTTAGGTCAGCTCATCTTGAAGAGGGGGTGACACCAGGGGCGGAACAACGACATCCACTGGTGGCGAATCGGTGAGAAGATTGACGCACGGGGGGGGGGGCAAATTAGGCCCAATAGTAACAAAAAGAGACACAACAACAACTTGGGTAAATATTGATCGTGTAGTTTCATTTTCCAGCATGTGAATAGAACATGAAGCAAAAACAGTTATTTAGTATATTACAGAAAAATTATAATTATACTTTCCATGGTTTGCTATTAAATGATGTGGTGGTAGGTAACCCACGGGCAACAGCTGCAAAACTATATTATAAGGTGAAACCAAAATGTGAAACCACACTGTCACTCCTCAATACGAACGTGATTTGGAATGTGCAGGGACCACTAAATCTAACTGCAGGGGCCAATGTAAAAATGTGATCTATATACCAACCACAAGTTTAAACCAAAGGGATGTTAGAGGACGTGTATACTCAAGTAGGTTGTCATTAGTCACATAAATGATATAAGTAGACCTGCTATCCATCAGCTAATATAGGCGTTGATGGGAATCCTTTAAAATAAGTTGATCACAGACAATCCTCTTGTGATGTGACTCATTGTGGAGTTTACTGTCTCCGATCAGAAAAAACCCAAACTGCAAGACAGTTTTAGGATTTAATCTATTAAGTGCCAGTTCTATGAAAACAAACCCAAAGCTTTAAACTTACATGCAGACGACACTAAATCTTGAAAATGAAAACATTTGCGCACCAAATATGACTTCGCTCCTCTGCAGGACTCATCCCTTGGTGCTGTGCGCTCCAACCTGGCGCAGCTGCTGCTCCAGCAGACCTGTTGCATGCTGGCAGCACAAGTAACAGCGCCATCTTGTGTCCAGAGGAGGAAAAGACAGCTCAGTGAAGTGCAGAGGACAGCATCTTTTTACTGTTGGCTATATTCTCCCGGGCAGTGAAGGCATGACGACATTTATGCAATGATAATGGAGACAGTTGTCTTCTACAGGTCTAATTATTAGAAACTATACCTAGATCTGTCCACTTCAATTCTGACATTTCCACTGAGCAGGGTGAAGGAGATGTTTGCAACCTATTTGTTTATTTCATCCACCCAGTGTTATCTGATACACTAGAATATAGTCATTTGTAGAATTTGTAGAATGTACTTCAACAGTTTAACATTTAAATTCAATGCACCAGAATAGAGTGGCACTCATAATTTCATTGTATAATGACACATTTGTATTCTATTTTTTTCTGTTCTATTTCAGATAAGGGCTGTTTGGTAAATGTGAGCAGTGAAGGTGAGACTGGGCGTATATTATGGTTAAACAACTACTGTCACATGTTTTTAACAAAAATAATCTTCCTTAAATCATAAATAGAACTAATACATTTCATTTCACAGAGCCTTTCTATATGCTGAAGGACACCTACAAAACTAGTGTCTAATAGATTTTGTCTGCAAAAGGAATCAGGAAGGCACAGTCACTCTTAGAAACTCTTATCAACAACAATAATCCTTATCTTTGGTTATATTTGTTTTCATATTTATTGATGATGATGAATATTATCAGTCCTGCAGTCACTGCTCAGCTTTTACCCATTTGCTTTATATCTGCTCAAACATGGAAAGAAGAATAAGAGATCTGCTGCTCATACATGTTTGCCTTCTGGTGAGTAAACTGTACAGGGTTGAGTTAAGGGCAACCGGAGATAGCTGATGTTAACAAATGACCTAACCCGCTGCAAAACCATACAAACACAGCAGTTGCTATGGTCTAATCTGATTTTATGAAATGCCATGACGCCCCTTATCTAGAAATCATCTAGAGGAAATAAAGTAAGAGAAGTGAAATTAGAAAATAAACTAAATCTGCGTTGAAGTCTTTACAACAAAAGAAACAACTTTTGGACCGTCTGCTGGGTTTTTTTCAGAGACACATGTGTCCTTGCAGACACCGCGAGGAGACATATAGAAAACATGTCTATATTTAGTAAAGCTCCAAGTTTGCAAATGGAGACAGAGCACTTATTGTCAGTTTATTTGCCCCTCATTTTTCTTTTGTTGTTTTAATTTCAATAAGTCTGTCTTTTTTTAATCAGATTTGCAACTCTGAACACTTATTTTTCTTTGTCCAACTTTGTCTATGGTCCTGTTCTTTGTCAACCTCTTCCCTAACTTCAGTAACAAACTCCCTCTACTTGTGTTTTCCCTCAGTTTCATTCTGGTTTTACTCTCATTCAGTCAAGAAAAAAACAAAAAACTGATGATGTTTCTGGAGTCAGCAGGAGCCAATTAGAAACAAGTAGAGATGGAGAGAAAACTCAAGTACAGAGATGAAGACGTCTGCTCTGAGAAACTCTGTGTGTCCAGCAGGTGGAGACAGAAAGGGTGACTGCTTTCTGGAATGATGGAGGAGACAGAATCAACCAGACCTGGGAAAGAGAGACACAGGTCATCACATTCACCTCTGAAAAAATGTGACTATGATGTATTTAAAGTCAGAGTGGGAGATCCGGTGGTCTGTGACAGAGTAGGAGGGCACCACCGAGCTCAAAGCTCTGCAGAAGCTCGACAGAAGAGGAGTTAGGTCATCCTCGAAAAAGTGATAGGATCACATGTTTTAATGGTTATCAGTGAAGAACAACAAGACTTTGGACAACTCTGTCAAGCTGAGCCAGAAAGAAGAGGAGAGCATCAGGATGAGTGGAAATCCAAACCTTACAGCTCTGGTAGATCAGTGTGAGCTGTCGGCAGAAGAGACGAGCGTCGAGAGAATGCAGGAGCTCCAAAGAAAGACCCTCATAGTTTTTGATGGAGGAGAAACAGAAAAATCCAATAAGAGCAACTGAACACTGAGCTTCAGTCACCTGATCATTTTGATCTGTATTTGTTGGATTATAGCAACTTGTTTAAGTTTGAAATTTAGAGTACAACGAGGAAATATAACAAATATTCTCTGTCTTTTTTCAGGAGCTTGTCCAAAAGAGAAGGCAAAGATGAGAAAAGATGAACAAAAAGGAAAGGAGGCAGAAAAGTGATTGAGGAAATAGATGAGAGGAAAGACAAAGAGGTAAATGACAGAAATGAGAAAGAAAACACCTTTTCTCTTCTTCAACTAAACCTAAACACAAACCTGTGTTTTTGACATTCCTTATAGTAAAAATCAAAGATTAAAGATTACATTGAAGATTGAATAAGATCCCTTGAGGCACTGTGGAATCATATCTTCATTTAGAAATGACATTTTTAAGTGAGATTGTCAAACAATTTCTGTTAAGTTTTATTGAAAGTAAGTAGGTTGAAGTTTTCTGAGCTGATAATACTGTTCATGTTGACTGTCACTGTTGTGTTTATCTTGACACCACATCTCCCTCCCTTCATGAAGAGAAGGGGAATTCACAGTCACAAGCGTATGAAATGTAAATCACAGGCAAAGCAGGAGGGGGAAGTAAGGTCGGTGTTTCCTTTACAGAGGGGGCTGCAGAGAGAGCACATTGATATAGATATAGATATAGGTATCCCAACCTTTACAGCAAATTAAGACAAACGATGACTTTATTCTTGGATAAATAAATACTTTATTGATCCAGAGAGAATGCACAGATTAATATAAACAAACAGATAGCAGATGGATGTGAGCCACTTCAGTCAATGTGATGTGGATGTGAGCCCATTTGGAAAATTACAAATGTTGCCAAATATCCCAAAACAAATTTGGGCCACCTTTGGCAACTTTGGTTGACATGCTGTATTGCTATGGCTTACTTGTGGCACAAATCTGGCAAACAGGAGCGGACCACTGAAGTTCCATCATTCCATCCAGTATGTGGGCCAGATGTGGGACATGGGCCAAACCTGGGCTCAAACAATTTTGCTATTTACTCCATTGAATTTCATCTGCTTATGCAATTATTGGCACAGAATAAAAGCCATTATACAACAGTTTGCAATTTACAGTAATACACTGAATGCATTTACAATAATTCGCTACATTAATGGAACCTCAAATTTTTATTTTTAGCTGAATACAAATATTAGAAAACAATAAGTGACACTGATTTTTGCAAAAGAGGATTCTGGACATTTGGTTAAAATAAAGAAATGCAGTGGACCTGAGGCTGGGAAATAAACCAATAAGCCTATCAATAATC